TACTATTAACAGTATTTTTCCAGCTATTTGAGAGACACTCCCCTCGGCCGACTGCCTATACTATTGAGTGACATTTGGAGTATTACCCTCCATCTACTCCTGTACTTATCAGACGAGATTATTTGTGTGAGCCGAACTTGTTCTATGGAGAACGAAGTGTAAGTAATAGACGAACCCCGAACCCCATCCTCTTCAAAGTATATATATTAATTAAAGTTGTCTTATTGACATAGCTCGATGGCATTTATTCTGGTGAAGACCATGTTGATCGTTATTACAAACCACAAGTATAGGGTTAGCAGCAAGAGGAAGATCAGTGGAGATATCATATAAGAGGAAGTTTCTAGAAAATACTCCTCATTCCTTCGGATGGAAGTAGGCTGCAATGACTGCGAAGACGATTACCATGACGATAGAAAAAAGCTACCTGCTAAAAAAAAAGCCAGAAACCGAGAAGTAACTAGAAGAGAAGCTCTCGGTAAGGTATCTTGGTTGTGTCTGAAGGAGTAAAGAATGCGACTACTGTGCTGTGTTATAACCTGCCTTATAAAAGAGCCTTTTAAGATACTCCAGGAGATACCTACTAAGAAGATACTTACCAGTATTCTCGAGAGGATAAAATAAGATTTTCATGAGCGATATGAATCCTTCCTTGACAGCTATAAAGTGAGTACATTCGGTAGAGGAAATACTATAAGCCGCCCTTATACCAAACACAATCTCAACTTTAACAATCTTGAGATCCGGTTCTGTTGGGATCGATGAGTAAGTCCAATGCTAGTATCCATAAGCTATGGCCTAACATCTCTTAGATTACGGGCAATAGGTAGGTACCCCGAGGAAGAGGATAACCCAGGAGTCTACCTTCATATCTTATAAACCTAACAGAGAAAGTTTTGGTTGTATATTAGCCAATCTATTAAGCTAATAGACCGGATTTACAAGCACTGTGATAAGGTATACTGTAGGCTAAATCCATCACTTTATTACAGCGTGTGGGATTCCAGCTCTTATGCTTCGGACGCCTTAAAGCTTAACCAATGGCCGAGCGGATAGCTTTTCTCTATGTTAGGTGATAAATTTTCGTTTTCCCTATTGCAAAATCCTTACAGCTTTCCTGGCAGGTCGAAGATTAAGTTTTTTTTTTTAACCATTGCTTTCGAAGACCCCCAGGTCTTTCCTTTAGCGCGTCAGGTGTGTAGTATATATCCTGCTAGTAGGTTAGTTATTGCCGTGGAAGCTGTCAAAAAGGGTGGAGATGATTGGGTCTGGCCTTTTACTCATGGAAAGAGGGCATTTCTCAGTATGAACAGACTTTGACGAATTTCAAACACCTATGCTAAATCCGAAAAAAAAAGAAAACGATGTAAATATAACCCCAGTTAGTTATAGGGGAAACCTATATAGATGCTACCCCTTGGTCTATCCTTGGCCGGATCTGTCTACTCTATAGCCCGATGCGACACAACCCGTTGGTCCGCTAGCACAATGGCAGTAATGGATGATGTAGGATTCTACCTGAATATATAGATAAGAACAATATTCCGAAAGCTTTAAGTACCTTATTCCAGGGATCCAGGGAGGTATATATCAGCACAAAGTCTAAGTTTGATGGGGGTAGTCCATTCGCAAACGGTCAGAACCCAAAGAACCAATCAGATAAAAGAATATGAATCCTAGCTAATGAGACTACTCCAAACAGACTGTAAAATCTGCAGAACCCGAGTTGATGGATTATTTTATTTGAGATAGCTGAATGTTCTGCATCTGTACGTAGATGGTGCTTGAGGCCGTAGTGGTGATATAAATCTCACCCCCGCACGCTATCTCTCTCTAGCTTATTGTCTATTTCGATTCGCACAATCATGCAGCACTGGCTGAATCATGTAAAAGTTGCCTGTTGTGCTATGTAATCGGTTCCATAGCTCAGTTGGTTAGAGCGCTGTGCTAATAACGCAGATGTCGAGGGTTCGACCCCCTCTGGGACCATTTTTTTTTTCGGACAGAAAATCGCGATAATGCGAATGTATTGGTCGATTTCTTACAGCAGAAATATCTCTACATGGTCCGAAATGTATAATCTGGTACGGAGGTCCATTTCAAAAGTTCTGTCTCAACCTTTTCTTGGCTTTTTTAAATAATACACTAGCGTGTAATGGCATATAGCTACTACAGCGGGACCTCTGATATATTAGACCAGCCAAGGTACCTAAATAGACCGCCTTCCTACCAAATATTCTGCTGACGAGTTTTGAACTAGTAGAACTGGCAGAATTAAGAGGAAGTTTTTTTAGGTACATTTCTTAAGCCGAATATTTCGGAGGTCCTACCATATATACTATAACGAGGGGTTCGATATCAAGAACTAGGGCTAAGGCCTAAGAGAAAGTATGGGATGAATTGCCTTAGATGTATATTCCGGCTTAGATTGTAATGATACCCTTCTATATTAAGAGTTGCTTTAGAAGGTGTAAGGTAGTTGGTTTGTTCAACTATATAATGTATGTTGTATTTAATCAAATTAGAACGAGATAACAGCAATTTAAAACAGCCTTACTATATTAGGACTAAGTTCATACTAGCGTGAAAATGAATGAGACAGAACTTTTGAAATGGACCTCCGTACAGAGTACAGAGTAGTTAACCAGTTAACTTCGTTAGGACACAATTAATAAGCAAATGCACAGATAAAAGTCACACGGGCGGTCTGTAAAATGACCTGTATAGAAATAGTATCGATGTTGGTTTCTGACATTCTGAAAATTGTGTTTTAGTGCCTCTGCACCCACCACCTCAATGATGTAAAAAATGCTGGCTGTATTCTATAATCGGTTCCATAGCTCAGTTGGTTAGAGCGCTGTGCTAATAACGCAGATGTCGAGGGTTCGACCCCCTCTGGGACCATGTTTTTTTTCCCCGATCTACTGCAAAATGAACCAGCACGCTGTTGAATAAACAAAATTGAAAAGATCAAAAGCTGAGAAATTCGGTTCCGAATGAAAGTGTAAGCGGCGCGTAGACTGGTGTTCTGCTTATTCGAAAGGAAACGATCTCGTTGAGTCTTGTTGTATAGACGACGAAGTTGATCAAGATTTGTAGGGGAGCGTGTACATTGGAATTATAACGGTATCGAGTTGTGGAAGAACTATGACCTAAACTTGGCTGGCGATATTAAAAGAAGTTGTCGTAGTAAAAACCGAGCTGTTGAATTTCGAAGGCTGGTCTTGCACGAATGGCCTACTTTGCTGACTGGCTGACCGGTACATTTCTCTAGATCTGGAAGAAAACCCCGGAACAGTTTGGCGGGGTAGAAGAAGAAAAAGAAGGAGGTATAGCCTGCTAGAGCTGCTGAATCTTGCTATACGATTATTAATCGTGGCGGGCAAGAAGCTCTAAAAGCTATTATATTAACTAGCTGTCTCCCACTTTGCAACTTGCTTCTTCTTCCTCTCCCCATTTTAGTTATTCTGAATTCAATGCACTCTTCGTTTGAAAGACCTGGCATGTCACACTTTATACACCTTTTTGTTTTCGTCTGCTTTGCGTTCTAAGATGGATCTATCTCTGTACTGCCAAAACAACCTTCTTTATACATAGGAGTCATTATCAAGATACCAACGTGGAGGATAGTATCCAATCAACCTTGAAAATACATTTAAAGATGACCGTTACAAGATATATCACAAGTTAGAATGGGGTGGCTTTTCCACGGTATAGCTTACGAAAGACAGAGAGTCAGTTTACCCCATACCTCATTTCTAGCTAATCTTATACTAGCCGAAATCAATGGGTCTCCTTGAAAATCATTACCGTAGATTCGTCGCTACTAGAGCTGGAACATTTGGTAAATGTAATGGCAAAATTTCGAGGGGAGCTTTCTTCAAACTATATTGTTCAGCTACTTGATGCCTTCGTCTACGAAGGCCCTAATGGGTTATACCAATGTCTTATATTTAGCTTAATTGGTCCTATAGTTTATCAGATCGTCGCGGAACACTACAATAATAACGAAAAACTCGAGCTGGAAACTACGCCCTAAATTTCGAAGTAGCTTTTGAAAGCTATTAAATATATTCATAGTACTATTATGTATCATGAAGGTCAGGGTACTTCCTCCTCTATAGTTATTTTCTATAGTTAGCTCCATTTTACTTACGACTTGTTAGATATTAGCGATCAGAATACTATATTCAGTTATACTAATTTATCTAAAGAGACTAAGGAGCAGCTTTCGATATTCTTAGATCCCTAAAAGTTGAGCCGCTAAAACGGATTGATAGTATACCTCTAAGCAATAATTTGCGGGCCCAAATAGTCGAGACAGCAGACTAGATTAGATAGGTAGATAAGGATTAGAAAAACATTCGGATCCTCGATTTCGGAGAGTTTCTATCAAGGATATAAACCCCTAAAGCTGGCCTAGCTGTGTTCATTAAGGGTACCAGAGACATTCTTACCGATTACTTTGACTATTACATCGATTTATGGCATATAGGTTATATAGTATCTCAATATATCATTTATTTAAAGAAAATATACTCACAGCGATACTAACTATAGATTTATTAATTCTTATTCACAACCTGGTCATTCTGGTATTCCCGAATTAGTTTCGGAGACGACTTATTAATTGGTCAAATGATTGGGTTTATAGAGAAGTTACCAGCTGAATAGAAGCCTGAGTAGGAATCGATTAGGAAGATACCTAACGATAATAAGCCGAAAGAAGGTAATTGAACTGATCCATATACAGAAGTACTACTAATTTTGCTCGAAGATTATGGAACCTCGAAGCTTGAACAGATGTTTGCTAGTTTAGCACCTGGTCTAACACTCAAACCTCTACTTCGTGTGATGCAAGGATTAACGCGATTCTTACCGTCTACTCGCCTTACTGCAGAAGAGGCACTTGATTTGCTAGGTGACGCCCAAGATTAATAGATAAATTAAGCAAATAGATCACACCCCTTTATTGGAACATTATTTATTTGACATAAATGTTAACGTAGCAGATTGAAGAATAGAGTAACACGTTCATAATCAACATCTGACCCAGGGGGGCCTGACTTTGGGACCCCTCTGGCCGGCGCAGCAATAGCTTCCAAGTCGACCTTTGTCATGCCAGGGTGCAGATGGATATCATACGAAAGTGTAGTTCCATCGCCAGATGGATGAAGACGCTGCATACCCACGAGTGTAACAATTTTTACTTGTCGTTGGGAAGTACTAGCCGCCAAATGAAGCCTGACCGTCAGTATACTATGCGACGGAGGAAGATGGACCGTGATATTCTGTTGAGAAACAAGCGACGAAGGCGGTATATCTAGACAGAAGTCCGGTTGTAACGACAAAGAGGCATGTGTAAGAACCCGAACGTTACGAATCAAAGCCATCCTTGGGTCTGGCTCATAGTTAGCTGGAAGTCCTGCAAATCCCAGTGGGAGTCAAACCTTGGCCTGATCGCCTCAGAAGCGAATCCATGGGCGATGAATCAAAATGCGGCTTGTAGGGAGCACGTGCTAACAACGGGTCAACAAAGGCCGGGAGCTGAGCAACACTTCGCCAGGCGATAGAATGCCTCCCAAGCGTAACATACCTGAAGCGGAAGATGAATGCCGAGTGACATTCGAAGAGGCATCAACAGATGCATTTGGGGGATTTTGCGAAGTGAACATCGTCAGGGCGGTTGCGTTGGTCATCGAGCTCAGTAAACCTTGCGTGCTCATAGAACTGTTCTGTTGTTCCTCTGAGCCAGATGGTGTGTTTGTAGTGCTCGACCTAGGGCTGTCAAGTTGCCCCCCAAGAGACCATCCTCGGGGAGTTCTACTACCTGCTAATCCAGCTCCGGGAATATCCTGCGTATGGCCTTGGGATTCGTCCTTAAATGTGACATCTGAAGATTGCCCATCGTTTTTGGATAGTGTATCGGAGCTCTGCCCAGGCAGTTTCAAGGTTAACCTCTGCGCCATTAGGGGCACAGCAGTGCCCACTTTTAATCTGATGCGAGACATCTCAGGGGTTCCATCTACCTCACGGGGATTCGGAACAAGCTTTTTGGCTTCGGCAACGCGTCGGTGGAAGTGATTCTGGGCTCCAATGTTAGCCTGCCGAAGGGGACGGATGGTAAGAGCGTCGCGGTATCGTCTCACCTCCAAAACCCCTGCGAGAATAGAGATATCGCTGTCGTCTTCATTGTATTCCCTAGCATTTCGCCATACATAGCTGACCTCTTCTTCAAAGGACTGCCACGTAGGATATGCGGTGGTTCTGGATGAATTCTTCCTACTGTCTGTACCGCGAACTCTCTTTTGGATGCTTCGTAAGGACACGGGATGTTGAATAATCTCATAGTAATCCCGGTACAGATTCCGGTCTGGTTTCCCAATGAACGGGTAAGAAACCTCCTGGCCACTAATTCGGGGCATCAGCTTCAAGTAAAGGACCAAAATCAGTGATACCTACTCAGAATCCTTGAGCCGGGTCAACTCGGACATAATCTTGTCCTGTGCAGCCTGAAGACTGTCACCTTCAAAATCTCCCTCGGATTCGTCCTGCGACTCCGGGGTTCGATCTGCTTCCTCTGGTGGCTCTAAATCCAGATGCGACGACGCAAGATTGGACTCATCGGGAATCATGAGATCATCATCCTATCACACGCACCGCAACTTGAATTAGCGATTGAAACATGTGGCCCGATTTATAGGCGCAAAGCAACGATATAGCATAGTGAATAGAGTCGAACTGCCGGAGTTGTAATGTCGCGATTGCCCTCCACTCGAGTGTCAAGGGCTAATCGATATGTATTAATGTAACAAATTGGATACTTACGGAAACCTTTCGGCGTTTCGTTCTACGAAACTTCATATTTGGGGAAGCTGCGGCAGCCCGTCGCTTTGAGGTCATGTCTTAGTCCTGATAATGTCCCGAGTCGCGAGTCGAGTCACACATTGAAGATAGCAATATGTGACTGAAGACCACAGGAGAAGTGGAGATACAGATTTAATAAATAAAGGGTCAAAATTGATTGAACAAATTACAAGTAGTGATAGAGTATGGCAAAAGGGAGATATTTAGACATTCCTCATCTTAGACGTGTTGCAGACGCGTCTACGGCCCCGGGGTCATCCCGCCTTATGTAAGACTGGTGGGCCACGAGATATCATAGTACAGAATGGTATCATACAGTACTGTAATTAAATTTGTATACAAACAACTGCAAATCTGATGTACCGGCTTTTGCAACGGTGTAATTTTGGTACCAGCTACATACATAGTGCATGTGACTATTTTGAGTATGATCATGTGACCAAAATTGGATCGACACCTGAGGCATCAATAGTTTCTCTCCCCCACTATTTTCCCGAGTCCCGCAAAAACAAGTCCGGTGCTTGTTGTTTTGACAACTCACATCCACTCCTTTCTCTGTCGCGTCACTTTTATTCTCACCCGATCATTCATCCTCCGTACCTTTGATTCCTTAATATCAGATCATCTTGCACAACCTTAGGGTCCCTACAAGAGCACTGCGAGCGTACGTTTTTAGTTGTCGCTACATGCGATAATCATTCAGCCACATTGTGAGCCGCATCCTCAAGCTATTTATTTACTGGCCTTCTTGTTGGAACAAATCGAATTGACGTTGACAATCTATACAGTTGAGAGATCCTTATACTGCCATCTCTTCTCATTCCACTATCCAAATGGACATCGACCCAGCTAGGCGCAACAAGAAGCCCCGTCTCCTCCTGGAGACGGAGCGCGAGAAGCTTGATGAATTTGTGGACTCTATTCACTACTCGGCAAGGTGAGGACTCTATGGCAATGCGGTAGACCCTCCATTGACTCTGTATAGATACAACGACGACAAATTTGAATACCGCCATGTGCAGCTCCCAAAGAATATGCTCAAAAAGATCCCCGCAGACTACTTTGACAGTTCTAAGGGCACTCTGAAATTGCTTTGGGAGGAGGAATGGCGAGCTCTGGGTATTACACAAGTATGTTGAACATAACTGAAAGATGTGCAGGGGTTCTAATAATGTGTGCGCAGAGCTTGGGATGGGAGCATTACGAGGTGCATGAACCTGAACCTCATATCTTATTGTTCAAGTCGGTTATTTGCGAACTGTTCCCTTAGATGTATCACTAACCGTCTTGTAGGCGCCCTCTTAACTACCAACCCCCTCTGCAACAATAAGTTTGGCGTTATGCTTGGAAATATGAGCAGTTGAGAAGACATCGCTTTATGTTCGTGCATGGCAGGCACATGGGTTCGCAATATTGCCTATTAGCGTCCACAAAAGCTTCATATTTGAAGTTCTGGAATGACACCAAGTTCCATTTTCTCCTTGCCCGCCATTTCATTGACACGCTAAACCAGGCTATCTCTCAGTCTCTCTATTATGTCATACGAAAGACCAACATCTGTCTTGTCATAGACACCTGGACTGTTCTAGCATGACCATTAAATCGCGTTTTTGGCCAGTCATTCTCCCTACTAGGCTGTGATGAGGCTGCTACGGATGATGAGCTTCTCCACTTCCTGAACTTGATGTGAGAATCTAGAGATATGATCTCAGTCAAGTTATCCTAGATTGAAGAATGCTGTGGGAGAGACATGGACCTCCTCTGCTTGGTATTTCTAGTCGACGCTAGAGGGGGAAAAAAACAGACCGAGTATTTGCAAAGGGAGCGGATATACCTGGACTACCCATTGATGTCGTTGGTCATTTGTTTTCCAGCTTTAATTGAGTATTTCGCTAATGGTTAGCAAATCAAGTAACATCAAGTAACTTCTTCTCTCATCTATTTCCACGCTGCCTGCCACTTTCGCCCGTTCGTCGCATGACGTCTTTGTTGCGCATCTAATTTGTCACGCTGAGGGGACATGGCTTATTGCCCTAGATTGTGACTGGAATAAGGATCGGTTGCGCTGATCAAGTCAGCACATGGTATAGGGACTATAGTGGCTCGGTACTAATATAGCTAGATACATATGTATATCGTAAATAGCTCTTTGGAAACGTCATTTCAACCCAAGGTTGGTCGACTCCTAGTACATTAGACATAGGAAGACACAGATACAGTATTAATAATTCTTATAGCCATCCATGGCTGCTTATGCATAAATATAGAAGTAGTCGCAAATTTGTGGTAATTCTTTAAGTCACTATGGAAAACACGTATGTACATCGTATTCATACATAGGGCAAAATGCTCCACGCACATTTCATGAACATCAAGGGAGACCGATATTGAGGTGAAAGTTCTGGGTATATAGGATCAACTTCCCAATGCCTCCTGTCTCCTCATATTCAGATCCTTGAGCGTCATTTCCACTGTTCGCCATCCACGCTTGGCTGGATCATACTCGCCTTTCACCTCGTATCGACAAAACCCATTAGGACCCTTCAACCCAACTGGACCCGTGATAAAGAAGGCTCCGCGGTGAGCAGACCGTGATGCCTGGGCCTCTTCATGGTGTAATCGTAATTTGAATGCCTCTGATGCCAAGTGCAAATCCGACCCCGGGCCGAGGTCTGGTAACGGTAGCCGCTGTAATAAAGATATGAGTGAGGATGGGTGGTAGTTAGAATTCTCGGTATTAGGCGGCATATTTTCTTTGAGTCCGTCAGTCAGGGGAGTTTGTAGCTTAGATTGATCTTTCTGGCCAATCCAGTTCCTTCTCTCATCGGTAGGCGCGGCAGAAGAATCATCCAACAAATCAACGGCATCTAGCGACTTCCCTGCGGGTTTCCTGAAACGATCAAGTTGCCTCAGCAAGAGCACCAGATATGCATCTCTGATTGCTAAAGCAATATGAACTGGTTTCATGAATGTCTGTAACCTGTCACCTATCTCGGGGTCCATCGGCTTTGCGACCCACGATATACTGTCGTTCTTGATCTCCACCCTGTCTGCCGTCAGTATAAGAGCCAAGCTTTTAGAGATTAGCAGTACATACCCCGAGCGCACATATCCAGGAGGGGCACGGTCTGGAAATTGATGGACAAGCCAGAATCCCGTGAGGGAGAGAGGCTCGCCGAGTATCGGTGACATATGCCTCCCCGCGTTATCTAAAACGATTGTGGCGAGTTCATCTAAACTCGTAAGCGAATGATCTTCAACGGGTTTTGAATCGAATCCTTACCCCTAAGCTTCTGGAGCTTCTTCCGATCCTTAGAAAATTTCACAAACTCTTGCCACTCTGGATCCGATGTAGTGTATAGCTCGCCTTGCTGCAAACGTGACCAGGCAAGCGGAATGAATAACGCTCCCTCGTTTTCGACCTCTTTCCCGGTGATTTCGCCGCTTCCAACGGAGGTTCGACGCGGAGATGTCTTCTCCGGGTTGGCCATAGGAGATAGATCAGCATCTTCGGTATCGTCGTCAAATCGTATCAGTACGAAGGTGCTCCAGAGGTAGAATGCGGTGCCGTACAGGAGACATTTTGATATGAACGACCTGAGAGATTCTACGTTAGTCTGGCTAAAGAGATCTTGATTTGGCTTGAAATGGGCATCTTACCTAATCCGAGGCCGCCTAAACCTCACATGTCGCACATTTTGTGGGTTTAAGAAGTTGGAATGAGCGTGTGTAGGACCGAAGAGAGACGAGCGTGCGTGAGGACTTCGAAGCAGATACCTGAGCCGGAGCATTGGGAAAAGCCAATCCCTACAATGATTCTCACTAGAGTATCATCTCAATATGAAAAAATAAGGAATAGATAGAATCCTTGAAGCCTGATATGCACGAGGATTTGTGTTGCGGGTTTGCTAATAATGGCAAAGGGTTCGGCGGTTTGGTGGATTATGTAACGTGCGGCGTTGCGGCGTCAGGGAGCCTACCATAGACGTACACTACAATATATGTGTGTAGATAGGTGATGATCTCTCAGAATGAATAGTATTACTACCAGAATAAACTGTAAGCTTAAAATCTATGACATGGACCGTAGCATATATCGATAATTGGTTGAGCACTCAATATACATACTAGACCACGTGATAGCTTAGTGATATCTTATCGGATGCCCCAAAGTCGTCCGTAGCCAAATGGTATTCTGTCCTCGACTCCGTTTGTATCCAACAAAACGCTAGATACCCTCAGAGGAGAATCTTGGTTTGGGAATCGCCACATTTGCCAAAATAGTCTTGTCTTACCTCCGGCCCTCCCGATTCTAGCAATATGCGCTGGGTGTCCGCCTTCCTTGCCCTGGCATTAACAGGTGCACTGCAAGCAAATGCACTGGATGCTACAATCTTCACGTTTCCTCCCAAGACTGCAACCTCTTCAACTGCTAATCTCCAACAACAAACAATATCAGAAAATGAGGCTCAGCTTGTCTTAGAGCTTCGCATGAAGTCCTCTATAGCATCGGTCCTCGGAATGGTGGATGCAGACACCGTGAACCGCTTGAATCATTTCACCCAGGATGATCTCACTCTCTTTGGGGGAGCCACTGGGGGGATTTCTCTTGAGAAAAGCTTCTTTGTTCTGGAAGGGATCGACCAGGAAGTTGGTAAGTGGAAGCGGACTCACACTTGACTTAAAAACTTTAGCTAAGATACTCTACAGCCCTAGCCATGCAAAAAGCCCAGCCCAACCATCTTCATATTCCTCAGATTTCCTCACCCTTTATCGAATTTGATCTCCTGGAATCATTTATCGAAAGCAGCCTCACTGCGAAAGGGGACCGTGGGCAAATCTGTACATACTACAACGATGCTAACAGGGCTGCGTCATCGACATCCCAGGTAGCAAAGTCAACTTTAATAATCTTGGGGTTCCCTCGCTAATCTTTCAATTATACCAGACTCCTAAGGAATGCCTATCCAGGGACCCTATTTTTGCTGATGAGTCTGATATGCTTGTCCATGACTTCCTTACACTAGTTGATTCAGTGGAATCCTGGATAAGCAAGGATCACAGTTATTCAGCTTTGAAGTTGTCCTTTAAGGTATCGAGTTTCCCCTGCCTAATTAGTGAATGATTTCTGATTCCACGTCACCAATTGCAGAATGCCTCTGGTGATTCTCTTCTCAGAACCAAGCTCCTAGAGACATTGCTCCTTCACTTAGCTAGAATACCGTCGACCAGCAACCAGGAAATCACGATATTGGTTCTACCCGCTGGTGTTGAATCAGAAGGACTTAACCGCCGAGGCGCGAAGCAATCATCGGCACCAGTCACCCATCCCTTCAGAAGGTCGGCACCGCTGCAGTCAACCCTAGCGCCTGTCTGTCATGCTTCGAACTCTTCGTGTGCCGAATCAACCAATGACTGTTCCGGACACGGTTCCTGCTATCTGAAATACGGCTCGGGTGTTGAGGGAACTACAGGCAATTGTTATGCATGCCAATGCAGACAAAGTGTTGTTCAGAATAGCGATGGTACCACCAAGACAGTTCAATGGGGTGGATCGGCTTGCCAGAAAAGAGACATTAGCTCACCTTTCTTCCTCGTTGCAGGCGTCAGTCTGCTTGCCATCGTTCTAGTTGGGAGTGCGATTGGGATGCTTTTCAGTATGGGCTCACAGGAGCTACCCAGTGTCATCAGCGCTGGTGTAGGAGGCCCTAAGTCTCAGATGTGAGCATAGGGGAAGCTGTGTAGGTGTTAGGGTGTGTTTTTCCTCTTTTCTTTTTTTCTTGGCCGAGGGCTTCATGTTCTTTACCTCATTCATCCCTCAACCTTTAAGCAAAAAATTTTGCTTTACTTTGTTTCTAATTGCCCCTTCCCTACCCTGCGTCTGAGGGAAACTTTCGGTCAATACAGCAGTACATATATGTAAGGTGGCACAATCTATTTATAAGGGGCACGCGGCTATAGCAAAAGAATATATTGTATAGCATGTACAAAATAGTACTCTCTGTATGTATTCGAGTAATGCGCACCAAGAGATATATAGATATGCATAACCCATTCAGCCTGCTAAATGGACTAAGAATCGGGGGGAAGCAGTGGCTGCCAGTAGCGCCGTAGGACAAGAGGGAGACAAGACAATTCGTGAATCATCAGCCGCAAGAATAAAAGGTCCCCATGATCCAGACGCGCCCTAGTCCAGTTGCGCAAAGATCGATAAATTACACATATCAAGTCATAAACAAGGAAAATATAACTCCAGCCCACATTCCAGATGTGGTTCCGGCATGAAAATGAGTTGCAGATTAGTCAAATCGCGAAGAGTTATGAGAAGGATAGCACTCAAAGACCAATCATGTGGTACCAGCTTCGACTTGACGAGGTGTGCGTCTTTCCGAAGGCAGTGGATCCACAGAAGCCCCAACTAGAGGTGGTCTTCTTGAGGAGGGAAAATGGAAGGAAAGTTGGCGGAGTCGAGTAGGAATCAATCGAGACCAGGTGGATTGACCCGATGAACCCGAGGCATGGGGTGGGTCCCAAGGCTGATCACGCCTACTCTGTACATGCTGTTCTCGGTTTGGAGATACGCTTCTTTCCTCTGGAGATGTCGATTGGAATATTCGGCTAGGCAAGCCCATCTGGCCTCTGAATCCGCTTGCCCTGCCACCATTCCAAGCAACTCGAGGGGGTCTGAGGATTGCATCCGGGTGGTTCGAGGCTGTACGACGACCCTGACGATCTGTGACAGACTGTGCTTCGGTCTGTGCACGGGGTTTGGGGACATAGTAATCGGCCTTGCATAGAGGGCAACATGCCCTTCTGCTAGTAAGCCAGGGGTCGACGCATGAAGCATGGAAAGCATGGCCACAAGTAAGTCCCCGGATATCATCATCGTCCTCAATGATATCTAGGCAAATCGCACAAGAATCGCCAGGGTTGGGCAGAAGATCAGCAGTAACAGCATTACCAATGTAGGCACCTTCATCATGTTCCCCAATATCCGTGGTCATGTTTTCATTGGTCAAGGAATGCTGCCATTTCTCTTTCTGTATACCTGCACCAGTGGACTGCCGGTTGGAAGGCTTTGAAGATACTGCAGGGCCCTTCTCCGAAGTCTGCACCAGAGGGCCATCTTGTACCTCTTGAATGGGGGGTGGTAAGGTATCAACGGAATCCACCCGTACATGGCCCTTGGTAGACGGTGATATTGCAGCCGTGTGAACCCCAACCGCCTTTGTCACGATATCACTTTCATCCTTTAGGCTCTGTGGCCTGCTATTTGGGGCTGTGATACCTCCTTCTGTTGAAAGGCCCTGGTTGGCGCGAGATGATCTCCACACTTTGTACTTGACAAGTGGGAACCGCCCGTTGACTTCATCCATCGTCATTAGCCTTTTTTCCCTTCGCCTGCGATGAGTTCGTGGCATGGTGACCAAGTCTATGGGCTCTCCTACTTCTTCACTGCGGAGTTGACGATTTCGTTGGTTATATCGAAAGCAGTATTTGACTCCAACAATGATCCTGCGATGACCGTCAGATGCCATCCCTGAAACACTGGGAGGCTGGCCTGTTGGCCTGGGCAGGGGGTATATGAAGCAACGTACCATAGATTTGTAAACACAACACCAAACCCAAGAGCGACGAAGAACAATAAAGGTGAGCTTGTAGCATTATTCGAACTCGAACCCTCTCCGTCGCTACTAGCAGTGGTGGTGGCAGCAGCACTACTAGAGGCTGATGTTGGCGTTGAAGACATTCCAACCGAAATTCGATACGAAAAGGATCTCACTCGGAACGTTGGCGCTCGGATTATTGTTGGAGTCTCAGTTGCCCAAAGTTCGATCCTTCATGCCTTGAGTTGTGTGTACAGGGCAACCCTGTATGTAAGTTTGGGTAAGACTCCAGCAGATTAAGTCCAAGGCGACGAGAACGTGGACGGGAATGATCCAGGTTATGTACCCTATGTGATAGACTGGATATTTGGAGATTAAACCTGATGGTCTGTCATGGATGATTGACCGTAAGCAGAGCACACAGAACTTCCTACGAAGAGAAGGTGAATGCCGAGGGTCGGTGTCATATCATTATCAATAGCAAGAGCAGAAGGAACCTGGAGGTAAAGAGAAAGAAGAGGAAGAGGAAGCGAGATAGAGAGATAAAGAGATAGATAGAGAGAAAGTGGATCAGGGCAGGACGGAGGCCTTTTGATTTCTGGGATGCATGCGGATCGAGACTCGACACCTGAGGCTGTGAATCACGGGACTGCCTTACTGTAAGGTACATCCACATTTGAAGGGGGGATGAGACCAGGGCTATTTACCTGCCCCCTTTCTTTCTTTTTCTATTTGAAGATGATATTATTACATACCTGGCTACCTTCAAGGGTACATATAAGCTCGTATGCATATGTACACTACTCTATGAATCAGTATAGCTATATGTAATGTAGTATGGATACAGTACAATATATATGATATACTACTATACACACAATGTGTAATCAATTCACTACTAGTTCTTTAGATTGAATTATACGGTAAGAGTGGCTTACATTAATGTGTTGGTTTTGTGGGAAAGCCCAATTAGCCGACCACTTACCCCTCGTAAAGTGAAACAAGAAAGATGTCCTATATAGACATACATATATAATATAATGTAGTTATATGCTGGAAATATGGTCAATATCAAAGTTTCACACGGCTGCTACACCGCTCCGTACTTCCCGAAACCTCTAGTTCGGAGATCTATGAACTCTCCCCTTCATCACATCTGCACACCCCAAGTCTCATTATGGCTGAACCCAATCCAGTGGTTTTCTTTGATATTGCCCTTGGAGGTAAGTCAATTTAGTTATTTTCATGTCGGCTCTAGTGTGCGGCATCGGAGTACATAGTCTGGCATGGCGAACTCTGCTAAGTAATATAATCCATACAGGCGAGTCTCTAGGTCGAGTGAAAATGGAGTTGTTCGCCAATGTCACTCCACGAACTGCGGAGAATTTCCGCCAATTCTGCACCGGCGAGAGCAAAAACCCCAAGGGACAGCCTCAGGGCTACAAGGGAAGCAAATTTCACCGAGTGGTATGTGATGAAGATCCTTGGATGGCGATGCGGAATTAATGCTCATTGTAGATCAAAGACTTCATGATCCAGGGTGGAGATTTCATCAATGGCGATGGGACTGGGTCATGTACTATCTATGGCACCTCGAAATTTGCCGATGAAAATTTCACTCTCACACATGACCGTGCCGGGTTATTAAGTATGGCTGTAAGTCTGAATCTCGAGACCGAGGGGGATGTTTACCCCGAAAGGATCTTTTTACTAATACCAGCAGAATTCGGGCCCAGACACCAATGGTTGCCAATTCTTTATAACAACCACAGCCACACCATTCTTGAACAACAAGCATGTGGTCTTCGGCCAGGTGATTGATGGGATAGATATCGTTAAAATGCTTGAACACACCCGTACCACCAAAGACAAGCCCAACCAAGACGTGACGATTGTGCAATGTGGAGAGATGTAATAATAATTACAATAGCAAACACGTCCTACAAATCCATAGCTCCTAGAATTGCAGGAAAATAATTTGAATCGTGGGAAATATATCAATTTCATATGGCTTTAGTAACCAGGGCTCTTCTGATATTCCATAGTGGGCACAGACGTGATATAAAAAAAAGTAACTTCACAGAATCCCGTCCTCAGGTCTAGAGCTTGAATTTATTCAGATAATCCGCAGCCAGTGAGATAGCCTCCTCGACCTTGTCAGCGTTGGTACCGTTACCAATGGAGGTAGGTCCTTTTCCTCCTGCTTTTCCTCCAACGGCGCCAGAGACGACGGCCGCCCAGTCACTTGCCGAAGCACCTTGGTCACTCAGTGCCTGTGTCCGAATTAGTATAAGAATCCATATGTAGTAATATTCTACCATTTGATTTCCCAAATGCAAGAAGGGTAGGGCTGATGTGTTCTCTTACTCACCTGAGAGATGTAACATCCGTGTGAAACCCGGCCTTGTTCAGAGTCGGCCGCCAATAGATAAACACTCTTACCCTGCATCTTGGACTTGACATGGTTGAGAGATTCACTGACAGCCTTGGCATTGGCAGAAATCGGAAGCTGGACCACAAGCCACGACTTGTCTTGGTTTTCAGGAGCCTCGAAATAGGAGGTGATAGCGTCGACGGCTTTCTTCGATTCCAGTTTTTGTTGGGCCTTTTGATCATCGAGAACTTGCTTATTGATCTTGGCAAACCGTTCGCGGAACTTGGCCTTGCGGACGGCGGAGATTGCAAGCTGGTTGAGATCCACCTGAACTTGCTTAGCCTCCTGCTCCTTTTCAGAGCCCAAAGGCAATGCATCCAGCCGATCAAGGCGCTGTCCGAATTCCTCGGCAACTCTCTGCACCTCATGTGCATCCTCTCCAGTGACGGCAATAATTCGGCGAATTCCCTTGGCAATGCCACTCTCCTCCAGGATGATCAAATCCTTGATATCGCCTGTCTTCTGCACATGTGTTCCACCGCAGAACTCAATGCTGACTTCCTGCCAACGGGGATCTTTGACATTCTGCAGGATCTCCTCCAATTCCACACCGACAGAGACAACACGAACAGGATCAGGGTAAGTCTCGCCGAATACGGCCCTGACGCCAGAAATTTGCTGGGCAGTGGCGAGCGGAAGTTCTTGGGAGTAGACAGCACAGTTTTGTCGGATATAATCAGTCGCCTTGGCTTCGATCTTCTCAAGCTCGGCGTCAGAGATTGCGCTCTTGTGGGAGAAGTCAAACCTAAGCTTCTCGGCGGCCACCAGGGAACCCTTTTGATCAACACCATCGCCTAGGATTTCCTTCAGAGCGAAATTCAGTATATGGGTTCCGGTGTGGTTATTTCGGATGGGCCAGCGTCGGAGCTCATCATACTCGCAAATGACAGAATTGCCGACACTGAATGATCCGTATTTCATGAAGCCGGTGTGTAAAACGTATCCGGCGTAAGACTGTACATCGCCAACTTCAAGCTCCGCTTGTCCGTCGATGATTATTTTGCCGGTATCATTTTCCTGACCACCCTGTTCGGCATAGAAGTTCGTACGGTCGAGAATGACGCCAAGCTGTGCCCCCTCAGGAACATCGTCAGTGCTATTGTGAAAAGTTTTCCCGTGGTAAATAGCCTTAACGTGAGAAGTGATATTACCCCGGCCGAATTTAGGCGAATCATCCGTTTTTTGTACGTCGTTCATTTTCTCCAGGTTGCCTAGGTCATGGACATCAAGCTTAACTGTGTTATCAGCAGCCTTCTTTTGACCCTTACTAGCTTCCTTTGCCTTCAAGCGAGCCTCTTCAAATTCGACATCGTCAATGCGGAGACCACGTTCCTCGGCCATGATTCGAGTTAGGTCAACAGGGAAGCCAAAGGTATCGTACAGTCTCCAAACATCAGCGCCATGGAGCATATCGGTGCCCTTGGCTTTAGCATGTTGGGCATATTGCTCAAATTGGCGCTCACCTCTATCCAAGGTCTTGGCAAATGACAACTCTTCCTCGTCTAAGATTTCGATGACATCTTGCTGCTTGCGCTTGAGTTCAGGGAACATTTCACCCAACTGATCCACAACAGTCGGCACTAGCTTAGCGAAGAAATTCCCAATATCGACCTGGAAATATTTCCGCGCATACCGAGCTCCTCGGCGTAGGACACGGCGAATCACATAGCCACGGCCCTCGTTGTTGGGAATGACTCCATCCGAGATAGCGAACATCAAAGTCCGCACGTGGTCTGCAATAACACGGTAGGCGGTGTCAATTCCATCGGCATCGTCGGCGCCAAAGTGGCCGCGGTATTCCCTGGCCCCAGTGGCATTCTGGATAGCCTGGAATATAGGAGTGAAGACATCGGTATCGTAGTTGGAAGGTTTGTCCTGGAGAATTGATACCAGTCGCTCGAAGCCCATTCCAGTGTCAACATGTTTGTTGGGAAGGGGTCTCAAGGAGCTATCCGGCTCGCGGTTATATTGGATGAAGACGTTGTTCCAGATTTCCAGCACATTTGGGTCGTCTTCGTTGACGAGATGAGCAGCGTTGCGTCCACCGATCCGATCGTAGTGCACTTCACTACAAGGTCCACATGGGCCCTGGTCACCCATTTCCCAGAAGTTGTCTTTCATGTCTCCAGGAAGGATGTGAGATTCAGGAACGCCCACCGATTTCCATATTTCTTTGGCTTCCAGATCCGGTTCCAATCCACCAGCTTCATTGCCCTCAAAATAAGTAACGTAGAGGCGATCGGGATCTAGCCCATAGACTTCCGTCAACAGGGTCCACGAATAAGTGATAGCTTCTTTCTTGAAGTAGTCGCCAAAACTCCAGTTGCCGAGCATCTCAAAGAAGGTCTAGAGACTTTGTCAGCACTTCTTCTGGTGAATGATAGAAAGCGAGTTTCTATACTGACATGGTGATAGCTATCTTTGCCAACATCATCCAGATCCTGTGTCAGGTTAGTCAGTGTACCATAAGACCCTCTTAAAGTTTATCAAGGCACACCCACGTTATGTTTTCCACCGGCACGGAGACACTATCCAGTTGTATCAGCAACAGTCCCAAGTCGGATGTTTTGGTGAGTGTGAATTATCCAATACCTTTTGCGAGTTCGTTGCGCGTTTCATCTTTCCAAAGTCTGATGAGGCGTCAACGGTGCCCAGGAAGATGGACTTGAACTGGTTCATTCCCGCATTGGTGAAAAGAAGAGTCGGATCTGACAGAGGAGCGACGGGGGAAGAAGGGACTGTATACAAGAATAACTTCAGGTCAGTCCATGTCGTTGGCGGGGGTGGAGGGGTAGGCAAAAAAAGAAGAATAATGGGCTCAACGCACCGAATGTATGGCCATTTTGTTTAAAATAATCTAGAAAGGTGTCTCGGACTCGTTGAGCAGTCCATTCTGGACCGAGAGAAGTCATCCTGTCGAATGTGGGATGCTTGGTTGACAGGGAGTGAACAAGGCAAGGAAAGAATGTTCTGGGTTGATTTCTGCGAAAGAGATGAGTCAAAGCCCGTTCCCCGTTCGTCACCACCCCAGAAACCCGCATCGAGCAACGAAATGCACTTGACCCCAGATCTGTGCACTTAGAAGTTCAAACGCTTTTCTTTCCTTTTCTTCTTCTTTAATTATTAACCCCACACTTCCAAACACTCGCAAGAGAAGGAGAGAGAGATAGAAAGTGTGGATGGCGGGTGAGGAAAATCACGGGAAGAAGCGCCCGGCCGAAGCTGACCCCGACGGCGCGCAACCGTTAACGAAGAGATTTGGACACCTCCGAATAGGTAGGCAATTGAACTTGAAAGAGTTGTGGAAGTTGTCAAGTTAACATATTTGTAGAAAATAACGTGCCAATCTCCGCTCGGGCCAAACCCAAGGGGCATATCCAACATATCCAGCCTATCCAGCCTCACATTGACCAATATGACCAACATAATCAACATAACCAACGTAACCAAGACCTATCCTCCTCAAACGATGCAATGATCTTGGACGACACCAAACATACGACCTACATTCACAACCTGGATCAAGAATTAATGGAAGCCGACTCTCCTGGCTTGGTGTTTTCACCATTCGCAGAGAAAGTGCTCTCAGTCCCTCAATCCGTTCTATCCGACTCGAAGCCCTCGGGGAAAGAACTCGTTCTTTATACGGAACCATCTTCCCTCACGGTTCCCAAGGAAAAGGATAATGTTCGAAAGGCAATTCTTGAATCTCGAGCGCGAGCTAGAGAGAACAAGGTTACGGAAGATTTATACGATGATCCAATGGATATTGATAGTTAAAAGTAATTAGGGATAGGGAATGTATAAACTTGTACCTTTAGGCATACAAATGTACGTGATCTACATGGTAGTACATGGGTGTACTGGACTCTACGGAGTACATATCCAAGTAGTTATCAGATTGCATACCCGTATGTAAATTACCGATCCCCTGTAATTTACCGTAACCGGACTCACGTGACTCACCGCTCCCGAAAAATTTTCTGGTTTTTTTGTGTGGCTCCGACTAAATATGCACTCGGCTTGATAAAAAAAATTTCCTCTCTCCCCCACCATCCCTCTTCCCATCCCTCCCTCAAAATCACATCTACAATTTCATAATGGCCGATTCTGAGGTTTACGACGGTGCCGTCGGCATCGATCTTGGTACGTTTTTGCTCTACTAAATTCGACCGCACAGCTGCTAATTGCCTTTTTTCTTTTTCTTCAGGCACTACCTACTCTTGTGTTGCCAACTACGAGGGCACCAATGTCGAGATCAGTACGCTTCCCCCCTCCAAATATTCGATCTTTCTCTCGAATACTGACTATTTGATCAGTTGCCAACGACCAGGGTAGCTACACTACCCCCTCCTTCGTCTCTTTCACCGACAAGGAGCGTCTGATTGGTGATGCCGCCAAGAACCAGGCCGCTATGAACCCTGCCAACACTGTTTTCGATATCAAGTGAGTTGGAAAAAAAAAAACATCAAAAAAAACCTCGCGCAGCCTATCAATTCGCGATATGCGCATTCTCCACAATTCCAAATTCGTTCTGACTCTAATGGAACAGGCGTCTGATCGGTCGCCGCTTCGATGACCCCATTGTCAAGAAGGATGTTGAGTCCTGGCCCTTCAAGGTCATCGACCAGGGTGGCAACCCCGTTGTCCAGGTTGAGTACCTTAACGAGACCAAGACCTTCTCTCCCCAGGAGATCTCCTCCATGGTCCTCATGAAGGTATGGCGAAATGTATATCTCATATTTGTTGGATTTGTTTGCTGACTATTTGGGCCAGATGAAAGAGGTCGCTGAGATCAAGCTCGGCAAGAAGGTTGAGAAGGCTGTGATCACCGTGCCCGCCTACTTCAACGACAACCAGCGTCAGGCCACCAAGGATGCCGGTGCCATCGCTGGCCTGAACGTTCTCCGTATCATCAACGAGCCTACTGCTGCCGCTATCGCCTACGGTCTCGGCGCCGGCAAGTCTGAGAAGGAGCGCAACGTCCTCATCTACGATCTCGGTGGTGGTACCTTCGATGTCTCCCTGTTGAACATCCAGGGTGGTGTCTTCACTGTTAAGGCTACCGCTGGTGACACTCACCTTGGTGGTCAGGATTTCGATACTAACCTCCTTGACCACTTCAAGAAGGAGTTCCAGCGTAAGACTGGCAAGGATCTCTCCGGTGATGCACGTGCTCTCCGTCGTCTTCGCACTGCTTGCGAGCGTGCTAAGCGTACCCTGTCCAACGCTACCCAGACCACCGTCGAGATTGACTCTCTCTTCGACGGTGAGGACCTCAACTCCTCCATCACTCGCGCCCGTTTCGAGGACCTCAACGCCAAGGCTTTCTCTGGAACCCTCGAGCCCGTCCAGCAGGTCCTTAAGGATTCTGGCATGCCTAAGAACAAGATTGACGAGATCGTCCTTGTTGGTGGCTCCACCCGTATTCCTCGTATCCAGAAGCTCCTGAGCGACTTCTTCGATGGCAAGAAGCTCGAGAAGGTAAGACAAGACAGCACTACTTGATCTAACGTCAAAGCCAGTTACTTATCTTTTTTCCAATAGAGCATCAACCCCGATGAGGCTGTTGCCTACGGTGCTGCCGTTCAGGCCGGTATCCTCTCCGGCAAGGCCACCTCGGCTGAGACCGCTGACCTGCTCCTCCTTGACGTTGTTCCTCTTTCCCTTGGTGTTGCCATGGAGGGTAACATTTTCGCCCCCGTTGTCAACCGTGGCCAGACTGTCCCCACTATCAAGAAGCGCACCTTCACCACTGTTGTCGATAACCAGAGCACTGTCCAGTTCCCCGTCTACCAGGGTGAGCGTACCAACTGTGCTGACAACACCTCCCTGGGAGAGTTCACTCTTGCTCCCCTTCCTCCCATGCGCGCCGGTGAGGCCGCCCTCGAGTGTGTCTTCGAGGTTGACGTCAACGGTATCCTGAAGGTCACCGCCACTGAGAAGACCTCTGGCCGCACTGCCAACATCACTATCTCCAACGCTGTTGGCAAGCTTTCCAGCTCCGAGATCGACCAGATGGTTGACGGTATGTTTCTCCCACTAACACTAATATTTTTGACTATATGCTGACTTGACAATCTGTAGACGCTGCCAAGTTCAAGACCAGCGATGAGGCTTTCACCAAGCGCTTCGAGTCTCGCCAGCAGCTCGAGTCTTACATCTCCCGTGTCGAGGAGATTGTCTCTGACCCCGGTATGTCCATGAAGCTCAAGCGCGGCAACAAGGAGCGCATTGAGTCCGCTCTCAGCGACGCCATGGCCCAGCTCGAGGTTGAGGACTCCACCCCCGAGGACCTCAAGAAGAAGGAGCTTGCTCTTAAGCGTCTGATTACCAAGGCCATGGCTACACGGTAAATGCATACATGGGAAGACATGAACATAGACTTATGGCCAACGAATTTTTCCTCTTTCCCGGGACTCTGCTTCTCAGGGAATCTGCGCCATGTAGACCTTGGGCAGGGTTGGTCTCTGTCGCGCTTTGTTTATGAAGCCGGGCAACTTGGGCGCAGTTTTCTTTTCTTGAAAAGTATGATTTGATTTGTTTTTTGTAGACGAAGTTCGCCATCTGCAATTTAATGACATTGTGATGATCTCCTCTCATTGTAATACTTGGAATACCGGGTAGTTCTACATGGTAATATAGTGTATGATATTTTTGGCCTCGAGGCGGAAGCGCGGGGGTAACGTGAGAGATACTTCTGGACTGCGCACCTCCGCCCTGGAACTTTTTACAACAATCGCTTCCACCATGCAACGCATTATAGCCCAATCAATTCGCTCCTCTTGTCCTCGTCTTGTGGAACACCCTCAAACGACTCGATCTTTATGTCTTCTACCCCGAGCCCAGCGCGCCGTTCCTCTGAACCGGCGTGAGTTTGCCAACTCGCCTGCCTTGTACAAGAAAAAGGACAAGGCCAAGAAAGCTTCCGCTTCCGCTTCCGCTTCTGAGCCAGAGGAAAGCTCCAGTGCTCCTTCTGAAGATCCCTTTGATCTTTCCCAATTGCACAATGGCATCTCCACGGCTGTTGCTCGGCTAAAAGATGATCTGTCCAAGCTTCGCGCAGGAGGGCGGTTCAATACCGCAGTCCTAGAGAGTTTGAGGGTCCATCTGAGCAAAGACAGCAAAGATTCGGTCAAATTGGGAGATCTGGCGCAGGTTGTGCCGAAGGGTGGACGCATGATTACTCTTTTGGCAGCCGAGGAGGATGTAAGTTCATGATGCCTTGTTAGGGCGTGAGCCTGCTATTGCTGTCCCAACGAGCCAACTCTAATACATTTCGAGCAGCACTTGAAACCTCTTACTTCAGCGATCGTCTCCTCAAACCTCTCCTTGACCCCTCAGCCCGATCCTCACAACGCCCTCCAGCTCAACATTCCTATTCCGCCACCTACAAAAGAATCTCGGGACAAGAACGTTCAAGCCGCCAAGCAAGCATTCGAAAAGGCTGCCGGTTTAGTACGTGACTCTAGAGGTGCCATGCATAAACGTCTTCAGGATATGCAGAAGAAGAAATTAGCTCGGCCAGATGACGTGCGCAAAGCTCACGATCAGATGGAGAAGATTACAGACCAGGGTCAAAAGGAGGCGAAGGATGCATTCGAAGGTGCCAAGAAGACATTGGAACAGGCCTAAGCCAGGAAAATAATGAGAATCATAACATATGGCATGGCAATGGCCGATTGTAAAAAAGACTTTGTAAATCTAGGTACAGACAGAGGCATAATTGGGGAAGATATGGGGAGGATATGGGAAGAACAGAGGAAAACCCGATCAACGAAATAAATATAATACAAATCACTTCTAGCACTTAGTTCACATATCCTCAGACACTCTTGGTCTTGCGGCCAGCAGAAACAAGAGATTCAATTTTGGCCATGAACTGCGAGGTCTTCCCGGTTGTCTGGTAGGTCCCGTTGTTCCGGAGGTTCTTCAACACCTCTCTCAATACGGCATGCCCATCTTTCCCGACTTCAGACGTGGGGTAGTTTCCCTGAACGAACGTTTCCATGAGAGACTTGGTGCTTTCCGCGTCGATGGGACTAAACTCGACATTCCGTGGCTCCACAAGGTCACCCTTGCGCTGTGAAATTCGATCGGCACGAAGCTGAGCCAATCGCTTGGTCTCTTCCAAAGCCTCCGCCTTCTCGTTCTCATTGTTGAAAAGAACGCTCTGGCCCTTCCACAGGCGCCTTCCAAGCTCATAGGGCGGGATATAGCCGTTGGCAATGCGGCCGCCCAGGCTGGAAAGCTTTTCGTAGACGGCAGCCGAGCGCGAGTTCACGTCTGTAGGAATTGAAGGCCATGTCTCTTTCAAAGTAGAGTAGCTGATCTCCTGAGGCTCATAACGAATAGGCGTTGGCCTGGATTTGATGATTTGCTCTTGAAGAATTTGATCAATAGCCGCCGCTTCGCTATCTTCGCCGTCGTCATTCTCAGGGGTTTTTGCGTTCCTGCGCGGCCCATTTCGGTTACCCTTGGCGCCTTTGGCGAAGGGTTTAGGTTTGCGATTTTGAGGTTGATTGCCGCCTCGAATGTCGCGTGATCTCGGGCTGCGGATAATCTTAGGTTGCTCTCCACCGCTAGCTCGTGCGGCTGCAAAAGATCTAGCGTCAATCACTCGAGGAGGACGAGTTTGATACTGGTTGGTGCGAGCTGGCGGGCCATTGGGATTGCGAGGCCGGTAGGAAAGCGTGGCCGATGAAGAGCGGGGATTGGGTTTACGGTTGTCTAATGGGCTTATGTTAGAATTCAAATTCCAGATGGCCGAAATAGTTGCGCTACTGCATTTATTTTGCCCAGTGCGGCTTCCCTTGGATGTACCTACCGGATGGCTGGGCTCGATTTTCGGCGGCCACTGTACGAGTACAGGAGAACTGGCGAGCAGGTGTAGAAAGACCGAGTTTTGTCCGTTCACAGTGCAGCGAGATCTGCCTCAGCTGTGGCCGAAACATGTTGTATTCTGAATGAACTAGGTCGTGTCCCTAGAACGTTTTGGTAAAGAGACGCGGAAAGATTGAACGAATAATTGCAGTCACGTGAGGCACCGCCTTCCTGCCCGCTCCAAGTAAACGCAGCCAAGTCTTCCTTTGGTTCATTGCAATACCTTTCGACTGTCAAAATGCTTCGTCGAAAGCCAACGGCTATTGCTATTACTTCTGAGGACATTGCTGCCTTTGAAGAAGCTAGACTTCGCAAACTGTCTGAAGAAAACAAACACCCAGAACAGCACGCAAAGGCAACCTCCAATGTCAACATCGACCCCAGTGATGAGCTGAAACCACTTCCAGGTGACAAGGCTAGGATTGTCCGAACCCGTGAAGAAAGAATAGGCATTAGTCGACGTGGTTGACTGTCTACACCACGATCTCGAACCCCTAGACCACCATTGCATGTTGGAAGGACTTGTTCCACACCATGACATTTGGATATGAGGTACATAACCCAATTTTGATATGCTTGCATGTATTTCTTGCCCTTTGAAACATTGAATTCTCTTTTCGTCACATCATTCACCATTAACAAGAAACAAATAGTGCAGGATCTTTGGCGTTGAGGATATGACAGTCTCATACATAACACACCCACCATCTTGCTTGTATGAAAGCGTATGACAGAGAGTGATCGAGCAGTCATAGAGCGTGGTTTTTTTTTTTTGAGCATCAGATCACGGCATTCCTCTGATATATCAATCTAAATATGCCAACATATCTCACCATTTCCCCTATGGTTACCTATTGGCTAGGACGTTGGTTTAACCCCAGAGAAGCGGAATGGTACATTGGAATATCTTGTTAATAAAACAACACAATGCATACTACTTTGTTCATCCAGATCACCTCCATCGGGCATCTTGGAAAGGACCAATCCTTTAAGTGACCTCTCTCTTTTGGCCTATTTCGAGATATGTTTGTTCTGATCAGAGGCTTTAGCTTGAAAATAGACACAAAGCATCAAAAATATTGACGAGCGAGGATGACCCGAGAATCCATCTCGTATAGAACAAGAGTATTTCACCACTCCTCCGCCCAATCTGAATAGTGTCTTTTCCACGGGTATCAATTATTTTCTAAATGTAGTCTACTAAATAGACCAATTCATGTAAGCTGATGATGTATAGCAGGGTTCAGGCATCAACTACTATCCTAGCCGGTGAGATATCATGATGGTTGGACGTGTCTACCTCAAACTTTTCCTCATTGAGCCATGCTTATGTCCCTTGGCGGTTGTGACGTGATAAAGAAAAACAGAGCAAGATCGCACAAAAAAGAAAAAAAGAAAATAGGGATATAGAGTGATAATAGCAATGGTTGCCTGGGATACTTAAACAAGAACCCGCAGGCCGTAAAATCTGGCGACTGAATTGGAGAAAAACAAGGTCGTAGATGATTTGGGTATATGTGCGTCTCATCCTCTTTGGCGCTTGGACATATTGTCGGAGGTAACATCAACTGGGTAATTCCACCGGCGTTTCAGCCCTTGTGGATCATACACACTAGCAACACTTTGTTGCCAGTCTCGCGCTGAAAACACAACAGGGGGTACCTGGAACTGAGGAGGCGAGAGAGACTGGGTAGACGTGACAGAGGGCACTTTGTTAGGTGTCTCGTACTGGATGGGGTATTGGGAGTTCATAACATTTTGTACACCTGGCACTGAATTGTTTATAGCCATTGGCGGGGAGTTTGCGCTGACGGTAGAGGGGTTCACGGAGAAGGCCATATCCCATTGACTAGAGCGAAGGATCAGTAAGAGACCAAGCAGAAGGTGAATCATTTACGTACGTGATAATTCGGGTCGGATCCCAGTGGTCTTCATCGACCGACGGGGCATCTAGAGGATGAGTTGTTTGAGGCTGATGGGCAACCATTCCGAGGGATTGTATCTGAGAAGATGTGTCGGACTTCGAGTCTTCAGCATCAGTCGAGATCGGAGGGGTTACCGGAAGCGGATTGTAACGCACTCTAGATTGGAGTTGACTCAAGTGCGGATGATAGTGTGCATCCATAGGTGGACTGGGATGGTAGGGTTCCGAAGGACTCCCGTATGGGAAACTGGGCTTCAACTCGAAAGGACGATGCATGTCGGCGGAGAAAGCCAGCCTCAATGAATCGATTTGAGCTTGAATCTCAGGCATGGGCCAGGCTGTGGAGCACGTCTCTAGAATTCTCATATGACGGGTGAAGAATTCACGGGCATCTGAATTGAACTCAGGGTCGGGGGAGGTAATTGCAACCTGCTCGCATTAGAATGGGTTTGCTATGAAAAAAAGAAGAAAGTCCCATAAATTGTTGAATGCTTACCAGGTGCAGCATCGTACAAGTCAGGATACAATATATGGCAAAATTGATGCCTCTTTGCATGTAAAGTAGGCCAGATAGCCCGAATCTTTGCAAGATAGCTTCTTGTAGTCGACAGAGGCTTTTTGCCGAGGAGTAGCATAGTGACATATGAGTCTTCCATTCACCACCGGCCGCAAAAGATTGAGAAGCGAAGAGTTGAGGGCGATGTAACATAATAATGGCGAGATGGCAATGGGAATGCATATTGCCCACAAAATGGGATGGAAGCCACGGTGGGGAGCCATCGGCAGGATAATTGACCTGCAGGTCTGGAGGAAGGTTACGAAGCCATTCTGCGAAAAGCGGGTTGATTTGTACGAATCGGGCATCTGCGCCCCAGTCCTTTTGCTTCTTAACTTTGTGATAGATATCTGTAATGATGCGGATGTGATGTGCGTTGCGAACGAAATAGGCGTATTGTCTTGAGCGGTCGATCTCATAATGATCGAGACCTCTGATGTCTAGCGTCGGACGCATGTCCACCGTCTCAGGATCAACACCGTAATCCGAACGGCCTACTTTGATCAGAAGCTGGTTGATTTAATAAAGGATGCGACGGAGTAGACTTACCTTGGGGCCCACCGATCATCACCTCAACCACCAAAAGAGCCTGCCACACTCTGGTGTGCACCAAGCATTCGATTGGTCCGAGTTCACAGGGCTTGCCATCGGCGTGATTGCTGTAATGTTCATGAATGTCCAAATCTTTCGCCATTGAGACAATCGTCTTAACAGTCTGCCAGGATCGATAATAGTATCCTTTCTTCGGCAAAGATTCCCTTGCTTTTAGTAGCAGAATTAATGCTTGGATAGTACTCAGACGTGGTACATCCATGAAGCTAGTCTCGTGTCCTATGAAACGTCAGTCTTTTGAAGATGGCTGGACGAATATCAAGTATCGACTCACGGTTAGCCAAAGCAAGCCACTGAGCGCCTTCTGCAGGTTCATCAGATAAACGGCCCGCGCAGGCAAAAAGGGCCTCGAGAAGGAGAGGAGAGATAGAATGGCGATCATGCTGCCATTGATAGTACAGATGGGCACGAGATACGACAGGAACATAGGGATGTATTTCATCAAAGTAGATCTTGAAATAAGCCATAACGTCGTCTTCGGCAGGCATGAGCTCAGGGGGGATTCGAATCGTCACGCCCGATCCCGTTCTGAGAGGTGGAAATTGCTCTTCAACGTCGTCTTGGACAGGGGCGTCGGGCTCAATTCGATCGGTGCGTTGCCTTCTAATGTATGGGGCTATCGAAGGTAGAGTGTTAGCGGGGAAATCCGTAGAACGGGTAATGATGCCATACCAATCCCACTCTCGTCAATCTTCAACTCCCCAAGTACATCACTGAGGTTTTCTGCAGTTGACTGATCGTTATCAATATACACATTCCGATCCGATGGACCCATGGACGAAGTTTGCGGCCCCGGAAACATTTGAGACTGTTGGAAAGTCTGGTGTGACATTGTCATTTGTGGTGACTGAAGATCGTTGTAGATGTTGGGTTGAGCCTGAGGAGGGACGAATTGGGAATACATGCTCATGTGATCATATGAGGGGATAGTATTCATGGTTGGTTGACTGTTGTCCTTGAAGACCGGAGCTGCTGGAAATGTATGAGAACCCTCGGCTGCGGCGGAGGGGCCTCCGGTCTCTAGAGTCGACTCGCCCTGGCCATCAGGGAGAAAGTCCCCATCTTGCCCGATGGTCGGAGGGACACAGACTAGCTTTAGACGAGTGCATGCAGAACAAGGCCATGTATTTGTCGTAGCCGCATCACATTTGATTTTCCTTTTCCGGCAACCGTTACAGGCTCGCATCACTAAACGTCAGGCTTGTCAGTATGTTTTTGTTGACTTGCGATGGACACTTTTCCTACCCTTCAGCCTCTTATGTCGGTTATGCTCATCAACGAACACATAGTCTACACCGATGAATGGTTAGTTGTCAATGAAATGTGTAAGGGATAGATGGTGCTTGAGGGTCATACTTTTCTGGCCTTCTCTCGGGGGGCCCGTTGGGGGCGCAAATGAATAACCTTGCATGCTTGCCCGTTTGATAACAAGTGTCGGGTTTGTAAAATGGCGTAGACTGTGATGATAGAGGCAACTCAAGTTGGTATTGGGACTATCAGGGTATCAAGAAAGGAAAACAAAAACTGTGCTGGGAGGCCTATCCACAAGGACCTGCCTCGGGAAATTGAAGGAGTGAGAGAAGGTGGAGGTCGAACCTCGCTCTGCGAGATGGATCGAACTGCACCAAGAGACGATAAGGCAGGATGGTGGAATCTGTGGGAGTAGTCGAGGCGCAAGCGGATTAATCGGGGCAGACAACGGCTATGGTTGCAACAAATTCTAGAGACGTTGCTCAATGACAGATTTCAGGTTGTCCCAATGTTGCGACCAACTTGCTGAGGCTTCGCGGGAAATTGACCGGCAGCAGTCGCCAAAGTCCCGAGACGTGCAAGTGTCCTGCGAGGCTGTTATGGGTTGGGAGATTTGCGCTCTCGTATATCAAGCGCGTGGGGCTAGACACGGAAACAAGATCAGGCCGTCTTTGGTCTCGAATGTATGTAATGAACAAATAGTCGAATGCTGTCATAAGTACCGGGCAGATTAGCGTCGGTTCCCACACATATGATCCAGATCAAATAAAATCACACAGAAAAACATTGAGAGTACCCCCGAGGCAGCTGCTTACGATTCAGGTAAATAGAAGGGTTTCGGGTGCATATCCATCGATGTCAATGTCGCAAAGTACTCCGCATTCGAATCAACGAGCCTGGCGCATTGCATCTCAGTAGGGAAGAAGCGGAAGAAGCGCAGAGCATTAGGAAGAGCAGCAACGCAGGTTCACAGGTGGAGGCATAGAGACATTGGCGAATAGGCTGTAGTAGTTCAAGAATCCCCGGGGAGAAAAAAGAAAAGGGGAAAATTCGAGCTTGTTGTGAGAGAGGGAGGGAGGGAGAGAGAAGGTCAGAAGCTGAGGGGTGGGAGGTACCGCGGGTGCCAAGTGTGGAAGAGGATCCAATAGCGCCCGCCGCTGTGGATTTAGGGTGGAGGGGCGATCCGGACTGGTGATTTTCTATATTTTCTGTTTATGAGGTAGCTTATGGAGATCTAGGGCTGGATTTATTCTGGCAGAGACATCGAGGAATTATTCCAGTGGATTGTCGCGTATAACATACTACGTACACCTATATAAGGTAGGGTTATATAGCGGTTGATGAATCAGGGATGAGGGAGTCTCCACTTAGGAGCGATACTGTTACCT